GGAAGGAGAGGGAGGGAAGGAGAGAGGGAGAGAGAAAGGGAGGGAGAGAAAGAGGGAGGGAGAGAGAGGGAGGGAGAGAGAGAGAGGGAGAGATGTGAGAGAGACACATTGGTTGCCTCCCTCACTCACCCCGACCAGGGCTGGAACCTGCAACCAAGGTACGTGCCCTTGGCCAGAATCGAACCCAGGACCCTTCAGTCCAATGCTCCTACCACTGAGCAAAACTAGCCAGGGCAAGCACTAGGACTCATGAAGAGTGGGTTCTGCTCCACCTTTTGGGACCACAAAGCAGGCATGTTCCACAGAGTGAGGTCAGCCCTCTTGCTACACCTTCAGCTGCTATGGCAGAAAAGGAGCTTAGTTACCAATTAGTTGTTTGTTCAATTTCTTACAATGCCTTTCAAAGGCCAGATGACAGCTCTAGGATCACATTAAGAAACTTGAACTTCTCCTCATTTCCTGTGTTCCTCCTTCCCCAAGAAAGCTGGGGATGGTATATTTCATGGCTACACAGTATTTTCTTTTCCAAGAGATCTGCCCTGGTTTGTAATGCAGAAGGTGCTGCCTGAACTGCGGCGTTTTTCTGGGGGAAAATACCAAAAGGAGAGTAAAGAATAATGCTGAACACAAAATGCTCACCCAGCTTCCTGGGGTTACTATTCATAACTGAGTCTCTTAAGAGTAATAACTGTCTCGGGAGAAAATTTTTTTTTAGCTAGGGCTTTATATCAGTCCACTTTTTAAATGGAGTGCTTGCTCTGGCAGCACAAATAATCTAACTAAGACTTCACAGTCAGAAGACAGGAGTTTAATTTGTTGGCAGTTAACACCTCTCTCTCTCAGAGTCACATTACTTGCCTATAAAATAGGGTAATTGACAGGGGGAGGAAATAAAATGATATATGTAAAATAAAAAATGTAAAATGTGGGCATTTAGTAGGGGTTCAAAACTGTAGTTATTATCTAGTTATTTAATTTATTACTCAGGTATTGCCAGCTACGTGCAAGCTCAAATAACTGTATTATGACTTTGTGGAAAATTACGGAATCCGCTTGGTTGGTGATGTTTTAATGGTCAAAATCCAGGCAAGAAAATTTCTGGGTTTAGCAATTCCAAGGAAGACATTAGTTTCACATTGTCTTGGTGACAACTGTGGCAAAGAGCAGGCAGGTCATTCCTCTCTTCCACAGTGTGTCACCCATCTGGACGATCGATGGCAGTAGAAGGGAATGGGGCAGAAACTCAAGAGCATAGTCCCAAAGAACATGCATAACCACAGACACAGGCGGCAGGGGGTGCTCGCCGAGGGAGGGGGCCGTGAGGGCTGGGCAGAGGCGGGCAAAGGGAGGGGTGGGGACATCAGTAATAGTGTAAACAGTAAAAATAAAGTTAAACAACAGAAAAGAAAGAGTGAAGTTCCACAGGACAGCAGGGTGAATTCACCCCAAGGAACCAAGCACGTACGGTTCTGTAAACCTGTGCCGGCGGTCGGATCCTACATACCATGTTCTGAACGACTCTGCCCCGGAGTAACTTTTGAAGGTAGATGACGGCCATTTCCATGTCTCCTTCTTCCTAAGAGAACAAACGGAGAACCAAGCAGCTTAAGAACAGCAGTCAGTATCAAATGATTCTTTGAAGAATTAGATCAAGCAAAAGAGACTGTGCTAGATGCCAGAAGGATTTAAAGACAAACTAAAAATAGTCCCTACCTTCACTGAACATAGAGTATTTTAAATGTCACTTACTGTATTATTAACATTCATTATTATTTTTTTATCACAAATATCATAACAAATCATATCAAAAGCAAAAAATTCATCCACCTTCACACACCTATAATTTAATCCGTTTTCATTTTTCTATACTTCTTTCCAGCAAAATTGTTCTTGAAGCACAAAGTATTATTCATTAAGATCTCTTTTGCAATAATTTTTTCATGTTTGATCACAAGTAGACAAAGAATGCAGCTAGTCTATGTCAGAGTCTAGAGGGAGGTGCTTCTCACAAGAATTTAGAAAAACTGGTAAAATCAGAATAATAGTGGCCTGGCCGGCGTGGCTCAGTGGTTGAGCATCGGCCCAGGATCTAGGAGATGGTGGTTCGATTCCCGGTGAGGGCAAGTGCCCGGGTTGCGGGCTCTATCCCCAGTAAGGGATGTGCAGGAGGCAGCCCATCAAAGACTCTCTCATCATTGATATTTCTCTCTCTCCCTCTCCCTTTCTCTCTCTAAAATCAATAAAGATATACATATATTTTATTTATTTATTTTTAAATATATCTTTATTGATTTCAGAGAGAGGAAAGGAGAGAGAGAGACAGAAACATCAATGATGAGAGTCACTGATCAAGCCCGCAACCTGGGCATGTGCCGTGACCGGGAACCGAACCCCAATCGCCTGGATCCTAGGTCGACGCTCAACCGCTGAGCCACGCCCGGCCGGGCGAGATATACATATATTTTAAAAAGAATATAGTGGACAATATTTACAAAAATCACCTCAAATAACTATGTCTTAAAAGCAGAAAGATCAGGGTGCAAATTTAAGTCACCTCTGAATGCAAAAGAAAGCGACAGTAAAATCAATGGCATTAGCCCACGTTGGACAATGTGTTAACCATAGGCAGTGGTCCCACAAGTTCTAAAGAGGGGGTGTTGTCCAGAGCATGTCCTAGCCAGTCACTGGGAGCATTCCAGTTCTTCCATGGCTCACCTATCAGAGGCACTAGTGAGGTCTCCTGGCCACTCTCCTCCCTCTGACAAAGCACGGCCTCCTGAATACAATCTGGCTTCTTCTGAGAATTGCCCTTTACGGGGAAATAACAGGCTACCTACCAGAGGAACATTGTGATCCACCAGGCAGTTATATTTCTCTCCATAAAGTAATACATTTGCATTCTGGCATCTCTAGCAGTTCACTGTTGGTTTGTTTAGTCTGGGTCAGTCTTAGCCAACTCTGGTACCTTGTTCACACTGAGTTTGGGATCTATGAAGGTGAGGAATGGCCCTTCCAGGTGAAAACTCTGAGCCATTCCTACCTCAGAAGTCAGCCTGTCTTGATGACTTTCTGATATTTTGTTCCCCTCTGACTCCAGCTGTCATCAGCCACCTTCCCTTGTGGATAAATAGATGTAATAACTGATCACCATTCAATCTTTTTTTTTAAAAAATTATTTGACATACATGAGGATGACCTTCTGATGCCCATTTTTCTTGGGAAAACTTTATTCTTTGTGTTTTTTAATTCTTGAAAAGGATTGGGTTTAGATTTCATTTTATTTCATTTTGCTTGTTTTTGTGACTGTGTGTTTGATGCTTGAAAATAAGAATAAAGGAAACATAAATTGACAGTTACATTAGGTTGCTTTTAAACTCAAACTATCCTAAGAATAAATGGTCAGTGATGCTGAATGTAGCATTTCACATAGAAAGATTTCAAACTTACACTGGAAGTGATTTCCAAGGTGGGCGTTGGAAGCCGAGGCTGAGGTATTGGCTTCTTTTGAAGAAAGACGAGAGGTTTCTTTGGTTCGAAAGTTTTACTCTTCTTATCCAACAGTGCCTGAAAGAACACCAACCACTGTCACTTCTTACCTTCGTATTTTCTTCCCCTGACACGTCTAGGCCACAGATTGGAGCATCGATCAGAAATAATCTTCCCTATGGCTATGCTGGGACAGCTGGAACAAGTCCAAACCAGGGCGATCGCACCTCCCGAGGGATGCTGTGACATTCCCAAGGTTAAGTTAACTACTGACTAAACATGGCATGTATTCTAGGTGTATCCATTTTAATCAAATCCAACAATGTATTAAAAATACGATAATACACCTTGACCAAGTTAGCTTCATCCCAGGTATGCAAGGATAAATTATTATTTGTTAAAAACAAAAAACAAAAAAAACAAAAATACCTAACTCTTTCTTAATGCAATAACTTTAAAAGGGGAAAAAATACATAATTAGCTCAACAAATGAAGACAAAACATTTGATAAAATTCAACATGAACACATGATTTAAAGCTTTAGGAAGTTGAGAATGGAAGGTAATAAAGAGTACTTATTACCCTAATAGAGAGTATTTACCAAAAGCATCTTCCAGAAAGTGAGAGAATGGTGAACACGGAGAGTTCAAAGTGGGTGACTGAAGGACAAGGAAGGAGCCGCACAGACGTACGCAGGTGACTGTCAAGGTCCTAACTTTTATCTAGAGTATGGGCTCCCGTGGATTCTTACTCTATTACTAAAACCAACCGAACAAACGACCATGCATGGGCCCGTGATGAGCATATGTCGTAAACCAGGGGGTCTCCAAGAGTGGATCCTGCAGCACCAGCATCACCTGCAAACTTGTACAAAGTGCCAGTACCCTAGCCCCACAGCAGACCCCCTGAACCAGAATCTCTGGGGTGGGACCCAGCACCGTGTGTTTAATAAGCCCTCCAGGTGATCCTGAGGCATGGTAAAGGTTGGGCACACTATCATTAACCACGTTCTGGGGTACCCAAACCTGAACACCTGTTGTCCAGTGAACAAAACAGAAAGCCCAGCTGGTGGGTGCTGCGTAGTTGGTTCATGGGGATGACCGTCTAACTTTCTCATTCAGTTAAGTTTTAAACTAGATGAGAGAGGAGTTGAACATGACTCCCTTTCTTTATGATGCCCAGGTAGCAAATCTAAAAGGGAGAAAATTGGGCCTATTATACTATTAAAACCAATGGTAATTTGTAACGCTAGAAACTTACTACGCCTCAGTGTAGCGTCAAATTTATATAGCTTCAAAGTCAGAGCCACTTTTAGACAGTCACATGGCTTCTGCAAATGGAAAGAATAACCTCCAAGAGGTTTTCCTACAGTTTAAAATGGGGCGGGGGGGAAACATATTGATTCAGCACAGCACAGGCAACCTCCAGAGAGAAAAGTCTAGAGAGGTGGAGGAATGAAAGGTTGTGTGCTGAGAACTACTGGACTTTGCTGCCCAAGACAAAGTGCGGTTTTTGGAGTGTAGTATTTCTCAGCAAACGTCCCCCTAGAAGCATCTTGTCTTCCAGATAAGGATTATACCTTATGAACCTCTGCCAACTCATGGTCCATCCTTGCTGCCCTCTTTAGAAAGCCAGCTTTGGTGGTTGTGACTTTAGGTTTTGGAGGTCTGATTCGGGGTTGTGTCACAAAATCTGGGAGACATGACTCAAGTTCGACTAATCCTACGGAAAGGAAGCACGTTTTTAGTAACTGGTGCTTAAATTAAGCATTTTGAAAGCATATTGTTAATTTTAACAGCTGCTTGCCAAGTAGTCTCATTTAGAATTGTTGATAAGGTGTATCTCATATAACTGAACCATCCCCAAAGTATAAAGCAAATTTCTGTATAAATTCATGTTCTCAGTGATTTATACTAAAAAATGAGAGATGCATTCTAAAATGAAAACATTGCCCTAAAAAAAAATAAATTCCACAACAGTAATCAACAGAAAATTCATGATCATATGATACATGGCACTGCCATTCCAAAGTGGATGTAGACCAATTTATCATATCCTACTCTGGAGTTGATGGGCCAGAGCTAAACGCTCAACATTCTGACCACCAACTTAGGGTCTTAGCCACATGATGCTTCAACTTGTCAACTGAAATTTAAATAAAAGCCTCTCTTGAACATTATAGCAGAAATAATCCTCTCCATGAATTTATCCCTGGTTTTTCATCCCCTTGCCCACTAGTTTCCTGGCATTTCTTGTTAAAGGACTGATTTCATTATGTATTTCTTTGTTTCATAATTCTGGTATAAAAACCTTTTCTATTTCATTTTTGCATAACTGATTATTAGTGACATTAAACATGTTTCAATGTTTAGCAGCTAATTGACTTTACTACTTGATAAACTGTTGTACAGTGCATCCATTTATTTATTTGGGTCTTAGTAGTTTTTGTTAGTTTGTATCAACTCATTAATAATATAAAATGTATTACTATTTCTTATAAATATTTTTATTTGTTTAGCATTTAATCTAAATTATGTTTTTTATATTTAACTTATATATATATTTTTCCACCACTATTGAACTATGCAGTCTTATATTTGTTTAGCTAATCTGACTGGTGTATTTTTTTATCAATTGAGAATCGCAATAGATAATCCTAATCACTAGTATAAAAGATGTAAAGTACTGCTTATATCAAGGCATAGGAAGACTCTCCTCCCCAGGATATATATAAATTACATATTTAATTTATACTGAACTTGTAATTATGTAAATTGTTTACCTTCATAGGTGTCGAGATAGTGGTTTTTTACTACAAAGTCCTCTGTGTTGTCTGGGAAACGACCAAGGCGAGATAGAGGTCCATAGACCTGTGATGCATAATCAGAATAGTCCTTGATGATATTTCTTCTCTCCAGCTTCCCTTCTACATTCTTCCTCTTTCCCATAAGCTTTCTGATTGCTAAAATAAAGCATATCTCCATGACTATCTCCAAAATATTGTTCTGAATTATCCAAATGCAGAAGAGTAAACCAGTTCTAGTTTTGTTCTCAGGGAAGCTGCTGAACTGAATGAATTTCGTGATGGCCACTCCCTGCAGCGAGAATGGAACACTGAAAACAGAAGTCTGTCATCTGTCCCCCAGGCAGGAATGACAGGGCTGAACGAGTTAGTGTCTTCAATTAGTATCAAAAATCTCTCTCTTTTTTGTTAATCCTCACCTGAGGATATTTTTTTCATTGGCTTTTAGAGAGAGTGGAAGGGAGGGAGGGAGGGGGAAAGAGAGAGAGCGAGCGAGCAATGTGAGAGAGATACATCCATTGGTTGCCTCCAGGAAGCACCCTGACTGGGGCGGTGATGAACCTGCAACCTAGGTACGTGCCCTTGACCAGGAATAGAACCCATGACCCTTGGGTGCGCTGGCTGGTGCTCCAACCACTGAGCCACACTGCACAGGGCTCATCAGAAATCTTTTATAAAAGCATTCCGAGCTCTGGGCCAAGAAAAGGTATTCAATAAAAGTTTGCTAAATAAATGAAAGAAATTCAAAGTAACTGAAAAAAATACATATTCAATGGAGACTAAGGGAACTGGCTATTCTCTCCTAGGAGAATGATTAAAAGGGAGGGAAGACTATAGATTTTTCAATAATCTCTGCTCATCTTGGTTAACACCAGAATAAATTAGAACGCATCAAGTTCTGAAGAAAAAATATGTTGACAATATCTAAATGCAGCTAGTTACGTTAAAAGCTATTTTCTCCCATCAAGAAAAAGTTAAAAGTTAAATTCACTAAAAATAATTTTTAAAGAATTTAATTTTTGTAATTGTTTTACTTTTGCTTGAACAATGACAATTTTGAATGATTTTTTTAAATGTGATTATATTGCTATTAATTTGCATATATAATTGATATATTACAACTTTTATAAGTAAATCAATTATATTAAAAGTTGCTTAATATAACTATAAAGTTAAATAGCATGGTAATCAATTTAAATTTTACTTTAAATTTTTATTTAGTTATTCTTAATCTTCCTCTGACTCTTCTTTTTATGCATAAAGTACAGATATACTTGAAGTACATAAACAGATATACAGTATACCTGCAGTGTTACAATTCATGGGAGGCGAGGGCAGGAAAAAAGATGTCTGAACATCTGTTTTAAGGGACAATAATGAAGAAAAGGTTGAGAAACAGGACTTTCCATCCAGGGCCAAACACACACACACACACACACACACACACACACACACACACACACACACACACACAATATAACGTCAACAGCTTAGCTGCCTGTTAGAACATCATTACTTGATTTTCTTAGTAAGGAATTTTCCTCCACTCTTCTACTTTTGGGAAGTAACTCATCTCCCATCCCTTACCTGTTTAATAACGTAGGACCAAACCAGAATCACGTCATCGTTAAATCAGGTTGGATCAAAGACCCAAAGCAAAGCCAGCGTTTCCATTCTCCTTACTGTTCATACTACGCCATTACCTGAGACATGTGTACGACGAATTTTTGCCAGTTTCGCCTCCTTTGCTTGCTGCAGTTTAGACCACTGGGCATTCAAGTTCTTGGTAGTCACTTCTTGCTGATTCTTGTCACGTTTCCTCAGCAGCTCTTTTAGAACTTCCAGGCGAATCTCCTGCAGTCTTCAAGTAAATGACAAAGCATGAGGAAGTACATGGCGCCTCAGACAGGGGTTCTACTAGAAAGGGAACACCTGCTGCAAGCAGGATCTTCTCTTTAGGCTTGTATCGTATGCACGTATTTTAAAAAGACCGCTCTGGCAAAAGTGTGACAAATGGCGGTCTGGGGGGATGACTCAATAGTGAGAGTATAATGAGAATATATATGGGTGCAGTTCTGAAGGCAAACAAGAGTGTGCCAGGTAGATGAGGCGAAAGAAAGGCTCTCTAGGCAGATGGGCCTAATGACCAACAAGATGCTCATGCACAGATCCAAGTCGACTGGTGCTGGGGGGCTAAGCAACAGGGGTGAGGAGAAAGCGGGGTTGTGGCACGCTGTCCTAAGCAGCGACTGTGCGAATGCCAGTGGCTGGCACCTCTAGGTACTCAGTCCACCTTTGTTTCCCTGCCCCCTACCTTTACCTTGCTCTCCCAGGGTTACCTTGCTCATGTGTATACAACCACACACACGTGACTTTAAAATCTTCACCTCCAGCCCAGATACTTCCGAACCAGAATTTCTGTCTACTTAAATCTCTAGCTATCCCCTGACCACCTCAGTGAAACCCCACTCACTTCTTCCCCCAGAAATCTACCTGTTCTCTATGTCATCTTCCCTCTAATGATTCCACCTCTAGAACACTTATGCATCCACCCCCTAGCTCACCTTTGTCACCCCTCTCCTAACTTGGACTCTGGATGCTAGTCCAGTCTTTCCCCCTTTCAGTCCTTGTTCCACGTAGCTATCAAGATGTTCATTCCTAAAACATGGATTTAAACATTTTACTCCTGCTTTAAAATCCATGCAGGAATTTATTCAGTTGTTCATTTGCTAAATATTTATTAAGTGCTCACCAACACACCAGGCAAACAACGAATGACAAGCAAGATAAAGCACCTGCTCTGAAAAAGCATTTTCTAGGGGAGTGGGCATACACACCAGCATTTGCAACACAGGGGATAAACCCCAGGCCAGAAAGCATTTTCTAGGGGAGTGGGCATACACACCAGCATTTGCAACACAGGAAGTAAAGCCCAGACCAGAAGATGGAAGAGCCTTCTGTGGGAGAAGGCCTAGCTCGACTCCCCGCCCGTGGGGGGAGGAGGGGCGGGAGGCCTGCTGAGAGGAGCTGGTGGCTGGGCCGTGTGGAGAAGGAACAGGGGTTGCCATCTGCTACCCTGACGAGAGAGAAGCGAGGCCTGGCAGAGGCAGCTGCGTGTTTCACTCAACAGGACTAAAGACAGAGCCAAGGTGTCATCCTGGCGCCACTTCTCAAAGTGAATGTGATGGGAGGGCAGGGGACGGTGACAAGTGAATACAGAGGGACGGGGGTGGGTTTTAAAGAGTAAGCCACACGCCAAAGGTGACCTTTCTTTCCAGAGTTAGAAATCCTCGGTTCAAGGCTCAGCCTCTTCCCTTACCTCAGTTTCCTCCATCATAACATGGACACGACGATCGTATCCATCCCGTTAGGTTGCCGTGAGCATTAAATGAGTTGAGGTGTACAACGCGCTAGAACAGCAGTTCCCACACGAGCGGGCGTCAGGTCATCTGGAGGGCTTGTTGTGACACGGACTGCTGCGCCCACCCCTGATTCAGCC